CCTATTAGCTCGGCTTCCTCAAGAATTTCACTTACAACTTTGTATGGAGGCATCGCATGTTATAAAAGATAGTTGGTGGCTCATCGATGGGAAAAGGTCGCTGTTTGAGCAAAACTATGCTATTGGCTATGCCTTGCTGGATCCAACATGGGCTGTTGAAAACAATACGTCAACAACCATTAGTAACATAGATGCGTTGCTGCATGCTTTCTTCATTAATCTCCCGCAAGAATTGCTAAAAAGGATGCATGCCATCATTAAACACCTCCTACCTTGACCCTCTCCTTCGCTCTTTCAAACTTTTGACTCTTTCTTTCTCTCTAACGTTCAATGAGAAAGTAACAAAAAGACGAAAAGAACACATGTAGCAAATTGCCATTCGCAGCAACAACGGCAGTAGGAAAACTTATAGCTTGAACGGTCGTAATCTTCTCAGCAACCAGGTATGCAATCATCATTTGATGTGTGATTTTCTTTGATTCAATCAGCCTCTCTCTAGTCTGCAGCAGAACCATCAATCATTTGTTCAACAATCCGACACAACCCATGACTCAACCGTACCACAATCAGTTTGTAGGTCGGAACAATAGCAAAAACAACATATATTAATCCCCTCCGGTCAAATTCGAATATGTTGCCTCCACCAGTTGGAGTCTTTCAAACTCACGAAGGCCTTCCTAAACATGTTCATGACTTTTGCATTGACACGAGAATATATGCTCCAACCAGCTTCACTCAGCTAATAAGGTTTAGCAACACCATCAGAAACCCCACTCGGCAGTAATAACCAAGTGAGAATATTTGCTGGTACAATGCTAGCACTTGAAAGGGAAAAGATGTCTCATTTCAACTCAACATGTTAGGCACCAGTACATGACAATCGGCTTGTTGCTTAAAACATGCGCGCTATGCATGTCTCTTCTCTACGTAAGATTATTCTTCCATTGGTCTTGCATCACTTCTCTGTACGACTTGTTACTTGATATGTGCATGACATTTTCCATTTGAGTTTTATCTTTCATTTGGTCTTGCACATGCACGTCATTACTTCTCTTATTCAATTTATTGTGGATAACTGCATACTATGCAAAATACCATATGAAGTTGTTTCAAGTCATCTACTATGTTCACCTTTAATTGATATACATCAACTCGGAAGCGAGGCCCGAATTACATCGACAATCGGTCACACCAACAGGGTCTCGGTTCTTGGCATCTACAAATTTTTTTAACTACAATTGATTTACATCGACTTGGACGTGAGACCCAAATTACATCAACAGTTGGTCACACCGACAGGGCCTTGGTACTCAGTAGCTATAATTTTTTTCAACTACAATTAGTTTACATCAACTCGGCCACAAAGCCCAATACATTGATTTTCAACTATAAGTCGGTCACGCTGACTCGACCACAAGCTCCATACAAGCTCCACTTGGCATACACCATCTAATCATCAACATTAGCAGAGCTAAGTGGGAGGTACGCATTGCCATCTTTAAGTGATTCGGTAAAGGACTATGATTCACACATTCTTACAGCTATGGAAGGAACAATATACTCTCCAGGATACTCAATCTCCCCACTCAAATGGGTCGAGTGAACATCCATATTTCTCCTAACTCAGGTTGGTCGAGCAAACTTTTCCAACTCAGGTTGGTCGACATTTATCTCCTAACTTAGGTTAGTCAAATAAACCTCTCCCAACACAGGTTGGTCGAGCATTCACCTTCCAACTCATGTTGGTCAAACAAACTTCTCCCAACTCAGGTTGGTCGAGCAAACTTCTCCCAACTCAGGTTAGTCTAGCATTCACCTCCCAACTCAGGTTGGTCGACATTTATCTCCCAACTCAGGTTAGTTGAGTAAACCTTTCCCAACTCAGGTTGGTCGAGCAAATTTCTCCTAACTCAGGTTGGTCGAGCAAACTTCTCCTAACTCAAGTTAGTTGAGCATTCACCTCCCAACTTAGGTTGGTTGAACAAATACGTCCCAACTCAGGTTGGTCAAGCAAACTTCTCCTAACTCAAGTTGGTCGAACAAATATCTCTCAACTCAGGTTGGTCAAACAAACTCGTCTCAACTCAGGTTGGTCGAGTGAACTTTCTCCAAACAACGGTCCATCCGACCAAACGAGTTGTTAACACTGATCTGCTCAGTCTGCATTCATTCAATTAAATCTACTCTCTAAGCTAAATACCCTTTAATTTAGAGAGTGAGGGTCCAACTGTTAGGGCCAAAAATTGTCTTGAGTCTGACAAGACCCAATAACGAAATAAATATATCACGGCCCAAGGTCTCAACCCAATCTCGATTGGGCCTACGCTTAAAATCACCTTGTGAACTACCCATTCTATGAGTTGGGTTATCCTATAAGTTAAGCTAAATTGGGTTTTAGCCCATTAGCCCGCAACAGTCCATAAATAGGAAATTAGAATCCCATTCTATTTCCTCTTCTACTAAGATTCCAAAACTTACTCAAACTATTAAACTTATAAGTCAAGAAATCCATTTTCTTTTCTGATAGGGAGTATCTCCCAAAATAGGACTTAGTGTCCTACTAAGATTCCAACCCCTTGGGTTCACTATAAAAACAGAGGTCTGTCTTCTCATTAGAAGAGGAATCTCCCATAGTCAATCTATACTACTCAAAACGATCTATTTGCTTCTAAATTTCTTGCTCCCAAGAACCCGACGCCTCTGCCATAGTCTTAGCATTCGACAAGAGTCCTGGTAATCCTTCTTCTCCTTAATTCTTATTAAATTATCTCTTTCAGCCTTGCTGACTTGAGCGTCAGAGTGCCTACGACAAACATCACCTTGGTGTTTTCCATAAGCTTCATGCTTGTCTTTTCATGTGTGCAGGCTTAGTGGATTGTTAGTGGCCTCAACCTCACGGGATTAGACCCTATATATATTGGGTTGGGGCTAGCTACGTGGGCCGCTAATGGTTGAACTTTGCACCCAAAAAATACTTTTTTCTAAGTATTCCCCACTAAATATCTAAATAACCCCTCATAATTATTGGATTGTAGATTTTTTTTTTTTTTTTTTTATTTATATTTATATTCCAATATCCCTCATTCTGCTTTTGTTTTGGTTAGTTATACATTAGAAATATTGCATTTTTCAAATCTCTTTCATTTGCCTATTATATCTTTCTAATTATATAAATTAATGTTTTTAATTGTGATTTTTTTTAATTTAATAAACATATTTAGATAAGGATGACAGCGTTATTGAGAATAAACACAAATTTATTGATATGTTTGTTGAAAAGGATAAAGAAATGGAGAGTTGACTAACAAGATTAGTTGAGGAGGATCTAATATGGTCTCTCAAGTTTGAGATCTTAAGACTGCAAATAGGGGTGGCCACTGAAGCTCTTATATGGCCGGTAGTTTTAGGATCCCGGAAGATTAGTTGAGGTATATGCAAATTAGTCCGGGCACCTCCGATCATCAGGAAAAAAAATTGTTTTAAAGGAAGAAATAAATTGTTTTATTGATTTATTTAGAAAGAAAACTATACATTACAGTATGAATTTTATATTAGAAAATATATGTACAGTGACATAAGGATGTGTACCAAATAATTTGGAAAGAATAATGCTACCTTTAGACCACCTTTTACACCATCTATTTACTTCATGACATGGCATATGCCACCTCAGCTACCACATCATCAAGATGCCACGTCACTTCCCTCCAAATTTTTTTTTTTTAAAAAAATTATGCAAAAAAACCCAAAATTTCAAACATTAATTTCCCTAAATCAATTTCAAATCTACCAAAACAAAGAAACCTTAAAAATTTCTCCCCAAAAATCTTCTGAATTTTGAAAACCCAAACAACTCAATCTCTTATCACAACCCATTCCCACGGCATCCAGCGGCCATCCAAAACCAGGTTGGGGTGTTGGTTGTGTGGCTATTGCTTGGGTGTGGATTTTGTGGCTGTTGCTTGGGGTGTGGGTTGTGTGGTTGTTGTCGTTGATACCATGGAGTATGTGGGTTGTTTTATTTTAATCCTCCCCTCATTTTTGGACCTAATATGGGGTATTTTGCTTGTATCATTTTTCGGTTAAATATATACATACTTTTGGAATCAGATGATTGTGTAATATTTGCAACATTCATGTAAGGGGAAGGATATATTATATTGTCCAATGTGATATATTTTCTCGCACAAATTTATCGTAGTACGTTAGAAAGATGCAACATAAGTTTTTACTTATTTTAATTTAGAAATCTGTTGTCAGTCGTGATGAAGTTGCTTGTTTGACAATTTAGGAAGCTTTGGTTTGTGAATTGGGAATTTGTTGCAATCATGTTTATAGATTCTAGCATTAGTTTTAGTAGTTGACTTGAGACCTTGCCTTCTTGTTGATTGGTTTGCTAGGGTGAGGCGTTTTTATCTGCTAGCTCCCATGATGGTGATTGTTTTGTGTTATGTGAAGGTGTAAAGGCTTTAAAGAGTAGTATAGGCACCCTTGATTGCTTCCTTTTTTGGACTAGGGTTTGATTTCTCTTGTAAAGGATTTGTATATCCTTGCTTTTTTATGCTCCTTTTTTTGATAGAGTTCCATTTTTTTTTGTAAATGGGTTCCTCCGCTTAACGGTTTCTCTCGTTTTGATGTAAATTCATTATTCTTTATAAAAATTACCAATTACCGCCCGAAAAAAAAAAGTTTAATGATTATTTTGTCTTCATAGATTTTGGAAAGGGAAAAAAAATTGATATCTTACCCTTATTAAATGTGAAATTTTGCTGTAGTCTTCCATGATGATTTTTTGTTTGTGACGAATAAGTGTGAGGATTTGTGGGGTTGCAAATATGATGAATTCTTGTTTGTCATGAATAAATGTGACCATTTGTGGGGTTGGCACCTAGTGTACTTCAAGTCATGGTCTATTGTCATTCTTTTTAATGAAATATTTTTTGTATGTGTAGACTTGTTAAATAAGCAAGCCCCCACAACCAATCCTAGTCATTTTACACATGGAAGAGTGCAACCAGAAAAAAGTAGATAACTATTCCCCATAATTCAATGTGGTTCAGGTATCCTTGTAATTGTTATCTATTTGTTTTAAGCATTAATATGATCTTAATTCCTTTAATGGTATTATTTGCACCTTTTTTTTTTTGGAATGTTATATACTAATTCTTTGCTATTATAATTTGTGTAATGTAGGGTAATGATGCACAACAAATAGGAGATAGAAGTACTGCGAAAGATGAAGGCAAGCCTAATCTTGGAATGTTTTTTGAATCATTTGATAAGTTTTTCCAATACTATCGGAGCTATGGAAATAAAATGGGGTTTGAAGTTACAATAAGATCTTCAAGGAAAAGAGATGATGGGGAATTGATTTATGCGAACGTTGCCTATTGTTGTGGTGGAAAGCAGGATAATGACTCCAAAAATATCTTTAAATTGCATCCATTGACAAAAAGTGGTTATAAGGCTTGCAATGTTGCCTCTCGACATTTAGATGGTAAATTGGAAATAGTGTCAATCATCTATGAGCATAACCATGAACTCATAAGTCTTAGAAAATCAAGATTTTTCAAGAGCAATAGATTTATACAAGCGCATGTGAAAAGGAAGGTTGAAGTGAATGATAGAGCGAGGATTAAACCAAGTAAGAATTTCAACTCAGTAGTTGAAGCTAGGGGTGTTGAGAATTTGAGTTTTTTACAAAATGATTGTAGAAACTACATTGAAAAAGTTAGAAGGATCCGACTTGGAGATGGTGATGCTTTTGCATTACATAAATATTTTCTAAAAATGCAAAAAGATAATCTCAATTTCTTTTACATTATGGATTTAGATGAAAATGGTTGATTGCAAAATGTTTTATAGGTGGATGCAAGAAGTATGGCCACACTTAGGGAATTTGGTGATGTTGTGACATTCGACACGACATATTTGACCAACAAATATGATATGTCGTTTGCTACGTTTGTCAGTGTTAACTATCATGGCCAATCCACATTATTAGGTTGTGGGTTCATCTCCCATGAGGACACAAAAACTTTTGTTTAGCCTTTTGAATCATGGCTTGCATGTATGGAGAATTCTGCTCCTAAAGCAATAATCACAGATCAGGACAGGGCTATGCAAAATGCAGTCGGGATTGTGTTTCCTGATACAAGACATAGATGGAGTTTAGGGCTACAAAAAAAAGACAGGAAACCGAACCAAACCGTAAAATCGGTTAACCAAAAAACCAGTTTCGATTTCGGTTTGAAAAAATGGCTAAATCGCTTATCCGGTTTAGGTATTTTTTCAAATCGGTTAACCGAAATCAGTTTTTTGAAACGGTTATCCTTTAAAAATTAAAAAAATATATTATAATATATTTGAAAACTAAAAGTCTAAAAAGTTTAAACCTAAGGTTAAAAGAGTAAAAAGCTAAAAGTAAAACTAAATCCCTAAAAAACACTACAGACCTAACTAAATATTTGTTGTCACTCTCACTTACCTTCTCTTCTCCATTTTGCTGTGTCTCTTCACCATTATTTGTGTCGCCCTATGTTGTGTCTCTATCAACATGATTTCTCTCACTACTACCACCATGGCTGGTGTTACTGCAACTAGTGGCGCAGGCATTTCATCACTTTTGGCTTTGAAGCTATCATCAACTCTCTTATTCTTTGCAGCTGCTAGGATGATGGTTATTGTGAACGAGATCTAGCCTTCACAACTTGCAGAAGAGTAACGTAACGCAACAAGTTTGTTCAAGCAGCTCCAGAGACAAATAGAAAATGTCCTTACACTAAGGGTTCCTAATGAAGATGATGTGAAAGAAGTAATGGAGAAAGTTTTGGTGCTTGACCAAGCATACCCACTTCTCTTGCTAGGTAAAATGATAGAGATTAGAGAAGTTCCCTAAAACATTTGAGCCTGCTGTTTGGTGGCCTTCAAATCACTCCTAGACAAACAACAAAGTATATAAAAGTTAGCAAAGCAGCATGAATATGGAGAAAAATGGATGGAGTGAAGATCTTGAAGAGGAAATGAGAGAGATTATGCTATTAGTCTTACAAAGACTCTTTGTAGGAGTCTTTGTAAGACTAATATTTTTCAAACAAAAAACGCACAAATAGCATGTACTACACAAGCTGTAATAGACACTCGAAGACTGTACACACTGCCAAAGGCAGAGATCAATTGCAGCAGCTTCAAAAATTGCACACACTCACAAGCTACACCAGGTGCAACATCTCTTGAGATAACAAACAAAAACAGCAAAAACTGCTGCATCTTCGACCAAGCTAAAGCACTCTCTCCACAACAGCACAATTGCAACATAATCCTACAAAATACTGCATTACGAGCCACATAATCATGTAACCAACAACCAAAAGCTACACAAACTATAGAAAACTCCTGAAGACGTCAGCAAACACACATACTGAACAACCTATGCAAACTGCAACAACCTTCTAGAAATTGCACACACTACAGACAGCATAAAACTGCCACAACACCTCTAACAAACCTACACAAACTATCCGGAATGCAGTAATCTCCCGGAACCTGCAAAAATGCAGATTCTACAGCAGGAACACAACAGGTTTGCCAGCAAACAAAATCTGCAGTCTCCAATTTAACTAAACTCATAGTTAAAAAGCACAAAAAAGAAACAAGAAAATCATTCGTTATAGTCAAATAAAACGAGTCTACTTTAAATAAACACAATTCATTTCCAATTCATTTCAATCAATGTCATTGCACATTACTACAAATAAAATAAAATCAAAGAAGAATCATTTTGAATAGAGCAAAAAGAATAAGGTGGAAGACAAAACAACTTGGTAATTATAGAAATTTTGCAGCCTTTGAGCCCTTAAAAGACAAGCAAATAATTCCGTTGATAGGGCACAACTTCCTACCTAAAATAGTTACCAAAATTTTTTATGTTTGAATCTTTTATTATTGACCTACGAAAACACATCAAGCTGGTGCACCATAAGTTGAAAACATAACAAAAAAGGCAAATATTTGGCACAAAATACATCCTCCCAAAGTTCAGCTTTATTGAAACTAAAATACCAACATACAAGAACCAAACCAGTCGAACATAATCAAACGCAACTAAGAACAAGACCCAGCTTCTATCTGGGATTTATAAAACATTCTAAAGCTCTCCTACAATCCTGTTAAATATTAAGGATCACAAAAATTCAGAAACAAGGAAAAAAAATTCTAGGGTTAATTACATACAACACCAACCACAAGTGTTAAACCAACAATACCAAATCCATAAATGCTTCCTCAACGGAAGAGCTAACGACCTTGAAATGGGCAGCTTCTGGAATCCAAATCAACAAGCAAATAACAAGCATCATTAATTAGAACAATAGTGTGAATCATCCAAATAAACACGCATTGCTTCGATGAATTAATAGGTCCCAAATGCAGAGAATGAAATGATCAGATATTTTGTCTTCTTTTCGGGTGAGAAGTGTACCACAGTTTGCATAGAAATAATTCCCCCCTTTCATTGATGACTGCGGCTGCTTAAATAAAGCAAAGCCTCATACAAGTAAACTGAAATAAAGGGAAACTAACTGAATTGCAATCCATGTAAATAGACACGTAAATAACGTAAACAAAACACTCCAGAAGTTAAGCATAACTCATGCACGTAAATCGATGCATAATAGCATAACTCATGCACGTAAATTCGTGCAAAATCCTACAATTGAAACTCGCACGAAATCTTGCAACTGCCTTGACCTATTCCTGCTCGTCACGACCAGCTTATCCCAACGTTGTGGCCTATCAATTCTCCCCCCATCAAGTGGATCCTTGTCCTTAAGGTCCACAGTTGGAAATATTTCCAGGAGCTTTTTCGTCTAGCCATTTTCTGGTGGACCTGGACCCGATTGAAGGTTGTTTGCTGCTAGTATGGGTGCAGCTTCAAAAGTACCATCTTGCCTTTTTCGAACAACACATCCCCCCTGAGTTGGTTGCTCTCCGGTGACATCTTCACAAATTATGTTGCCGCTGCCATCGTGTCGTTCCAGCATGAGTAGTTGTGGCCCTTGACACTGGTGACCTGCAGTAAAATGCTCATTACAATTAAAACATAAACCTTGAGCTCGCCTCTGCTGCATTTCATCCCAAGTCAGTCGCCAAACAACAGCTACATGTGCGGCATGTGGAAGAGCTAACGGGGCTCTCACTAGTGGTGAAGGATGTACACACATCCCTTGTCTCGATAGTTGCTCATCTTTCATTCGCGCTAAGCTGATAGCCTCCTTTAATGTCTAAGGCTTAAACATTCAGATTCCATCCAAAATGTCCTTTTTTAAGCCACCCCTAAATGTTCCCACAAGAGCTTTTTGCGTCCAACCTCGTACGCGATTGCCCAAGTGCTCGAATTCTCGCTGATAATCACGCAATGAACCATCCTGACGTATCCTTGAAAGGGCTTCATCAAAATCCTCACACTCCAATGGCCCAAAGCGTGCCCAGAGCTCGTCTTCAAAATCTACCCATGAGAGAGCGCGTCCTTCGTCTTGGAACGTCTTACGAATCCACTGCCACCATTGGTTGGCCTCTCCTTCCAAATGGTAAGAGGCTAAGGAAACTTTCTGGGTTTCAAGAGTATTCTGGAATTCAAAAAATTGGTTCACACGGTTGAACGATCATCTCCAGAGAATCTCAAAAATTCAAGCTTCACTGTCTTGGAGGAGACAACAAGCCGTCCCCTATCGTGGCCTTCACAGTGTTGGTGGCCATGGTTTGGAGGCTCCTGGTTTGCAAGCAGTACATCAGAGAAACGGTTAAGAGTTTCTTCCAAATGTCGTAGCCTGTCCGCCATGCCGAGCTCCATCCGGTGTAGCCCATCTTGCACTTCACCGAGCCCAGCCTCCAACAGTTCAATACGCTCTTTATTGGTTCCCATAATAACCTGCTCTGATACCAATTAATAGGTCCCAAATGCAGAGAATGAAATGATCAGATATTTTGTCTTCTCTTCGGGAGAGAAGTGTACCACAGTTTGCATAGAAATAATTCCCCCCTTTCATTGATGACTGTGGCTGCTTAAATAAAGCAAAACCTTGTACAAGTAAACTGAAATAAAGGGAAACTAACTTAATTGCAATCCACGTAAATAGACACGTAAATAACGTAAACAAAAGACTCCATAAGTTAAGCATAACTATGCATGTAAATCGATGCGTAAAAGCATAACTCATGCACGTAAATTTGTGCATAATCCTGCAACTGAAACTCACAAGAAATCTTGCAACTGCCTTGACCCATTCCTGCTCGTCACGACCAGCCTATCCCAACGTCGTGGCCTATCATGAATCAATTCATATAAAAAATAAATAAAAACTGAAATGAAATTGGGGGAAATTGGTGAGGTGTGGCAGCATCTGGCAAGGCGTGGAAATGATGGTTTGAGGCATGTAATGAAATTGAGATTAGATCGACTGACAAATTGTTGAAATTGTTGAGAATTTGATTTTTAGATGAGCGGTAAAAATTGAATGGAAATTGACGCATCTGGGAATGATGATAGCAAGTGGTGGTCGTGGGAGACGATAGCCGACGTAGGTGGTGGTAGACGATGATCGGCGGCGGTGGAGGTGTTAGAGGTGGGTCGACTATGGGAGAGATTTTTCAAATGTAGGGGAAGGGTTCTCAGTTTTTGAAATTGGGAAATTGGCGCATTTGGGAATGACGATAGAAGGTGGCGGTTTTGGGAGATGATAGCCAGCGTATGTGGTGGTAGACGACGATCGACGGCGTTGGAGGTGGGTCGATTGTGGGAGAGATTTTTCAATTTTAGGGTAAGGGTTTGGGATGGTAGAGGTGGCCAC